AAATAGTTATTCCTGCCAGGAATGCTTTAGCTTAAACAGACAATTGGGTTTGGTTTATAAACTGCCACTTGGTCACAGTAAGTGTATGTACAGTTTTACTTCAAAACCATTATAAACAGACAAGGTAAGCAGCAGTAGACGTGGTTTTACTTGAAAGGTGTGGTCATATAATACTGCAGGGCTTTTGTAGCAGGACACTCCCAGAATCCCACCATGTGCCCGAGAACATTGTCCAAACACTTCTTGAACTCAGACAGGCTTGGTGCTGTGACCACTACCCTGGGGAGTATGTTCCAGTGCTCAACCACCCTCTGGAGGAAGAAACTTTTCCTGATATCCAACCTAAACCTCCCCAAGTCAGCTCCAGCTATTTCCTCGAATCCTATCAGTGGTTATGAGAGTGAAGAGATCAGTACCTGCCCCTCTGCTGCACCTTCAGAGGATGTTAAAGACCTCAAGGAGGCCTCCTCTCAGTTTTCTCTTCTCCAGGCTGAACAAACCTAACGGTCTCAGCCCCTCCTCAAAAGGCTTTCCCTCCAGACCCTTCCTCATCCTCGTGGTCTTCTCTGAACACCGTCTAATGGCTTAATGTCTATTTTATACTGTGGTGCCCAGGATGCGAGGTGAGGCCACCCCAGTGCAGAGAAGAGCGGGACAATCCCCTCCCTCGACCGGCTGGTGATGCTTTGCCTGATGCCCCCCCCAGGACACGGTTGGCCCTCCTGGCTGCCAGGGCGCTGTTGACTCATATTCAACTTGCCATCGACTGGGACCCCCAGGTCACTTCCCGCAGCTGCTCTCCAACCTCTCGTACCCCAGTCTATACACAGGAGCAGGGTTGCCTGGAAGAGGAGGAGGGATGCAGTAGGAGCGGTGCAGCAGGAGGAGGAGCAGCAGGAGGAAGAGGGGTAGAGGAGGAGGATCAGGAAGAGGAGGAGAAGGAAAAAGAGGAAGTTCGCTAGTCCACCGCTCGCTGTATGCGCAAGCCCCCGCGAGCATCGCCCTCCAGCATCCCACAGGTGACCGGGGCAGGGGAGCTTGCCACAAATATCTTGCGGGGGGGGGGGGGTGTGGCCCAGGATTTTTCTAGGGGTAGGGTATCTTTGGATCTTGCAGTACTCCAAAGCTGAGGCTCGAATGCCCCTTCGGAAGATAGTGGAGAGTCCCCGGGAGGTGTTTTTTTTCGGGGGGGCTGCCGGCATAGCCCCGGCGGTGGGCGGAGGGATGCAGGTTCCGTCACCGCGGTGAGGGTTGGTCTTCCTGGGTCAGGCACCGCCGCCTCCACTGTCAGCCCACTACCGGCGGCAGGTGGGACACACACACTCACACGCACTCACACATCGGGTTTTGGGACCCACAAGGAGAGCCGGGTTGGGCAGGAACCCCGGGACCCCCAGAGTGGGGAGAGCGGAGAAGGGCGCTACCAGAGCTGGGAGACCCCCGACAGCCTGGAGGTGGGGGGAGCACGGAGAAGGGGGAGCCCGGAGAGAGGTGACTCCCAGGATTTCCGGGACTCCCAGCAGCCTGCAGTGGGGAGGGACTCCAGAGACGGGGCCCCCCAGGGAGCCCAGCATACCGAAGCAGAGTCTCAAGGGAGAAGGGAGCCCTAAAGCCCCCAGAATCCCTAAGTGGGACCCCACAGAGGAGAGACCCCCGATATTCAAGAGACCACCAGCAGCCTAGACAGGGCAGGGACCCCGAAGCGCCGGCACCCCCAATACACACGGAACCCCCAGCAGCCCAGACAAAGGAAACCCCCAGAACTCCAAAGTTGAGACCAGAGAGGGGGAACTCCTAGGAGGGCTTTTCGGGGCTGAATCCTGGCATTTTGGAGGTCTTTAGGGACACAAGATAGCTGTTGACTTCTATATATGAACTTGGGCAAGAGGACCCCCCAATTCAACGCACTCACACATCGTTTTCTCCCCCAAAACAGGATTTCTCATTCCCAAACCTTGACCAGATGGAGGAGGAAGCTGGGAGGAAAAGGAAGATGCTACAGGACACCCAGGTAGGTGAGGAGGAAGTCATTCCACCTTTCCCCCTCTGTTCTTCATCTTCCAGCCAAGCATCACCCCCAGCTGCAGGACAACCCTGCCGCTGATGCCGTCCGTCCTGCTGGGGACGGATTTGGGGGGCACCAAGGGAAATCCCCTTCCTCTTCTTTCTTCCTTCCCTCTCCTTGTTCCATTTCTTTCCTTCTTCCTTTTTCTCGTTTCCTTCCTCTCCAGGCAACGAACTGAGGGCAGAGACCATGGAGGACAAATCTGCCTGGCAGAACCTTGGGGAAGAGGCTGTTTTGAATGGCTCCACTGTGCAGGAAGCCAATGGGGAGGAAAAGCCACAAACATTCCCCACAGGAAGCAGCTCCAAACCTAGCACACAGGGCTCTGAGGAGGAAAGACCCACCTTTTGCCAGGAAGGCGGCCGGAGCTTCAGCCAGAGCTCTGACCTGGTGGTCCACCAGCGGCTTCATGAAGTGGAGAAGCCCTACAAGTGCTTGGAATGCGGGAAGAGCTTCAGGCAGAGTTTCCACCTGATTCGCCACCAGAGCATCCACACCGGGGAAGGGCCCTATAAGTGTCGTGAATGTGGGAAGAGCTTCAGTGATGGCTTCACCTTTGCCGCCCACCACCGGGTGCACACAGGGGAACGGCCTTACAAGTGCTTTGAATGTGCGAAGAGCTTCAGCCAGAGCTCCAACCTCATCACCCACCAGCGCCTGCACACTGGGGAACGACCCTACAAGTGTCCCGACTGTGGGAAGAGCTTCGTCCGCAGTGCTGACCTTGTAATCCATCATCGTATCCACACTGGGGAGAAGCCCTACGAGTGTCCCAAGTGTGGGAAGAGGTTTCGGAGCAGCTCAATTGCCAACAGGCATCAGAGGACACACACAGAGGAGAGGCCCTATGAGTGTCCTGAGTGTGGGAAGAGGTTTCGGAACAGTTCTCATCTCATCAGGCATCAATGGGCACACACGGGGGAGAGGCCCTACAAGTGTCCCCAGTGTGGGAAGAGCTTCAACCAGAGCTTTACCTTGATCAGACACCAACAGACTCATCGAAAAGGGAAGCCCTATAAGTGCCCTAACTTCAGGACTTTGTCCACTGCTCCAACTTCATCACCCATCAGAGAACCAACCTTGGATTATCCACAGTGACCCAGGTTGGGTAGAGATCTGGTGACCCCCAATCCAGGTTATCCATGTTGGGCAGTGTATTGGGTTTGCGTGGACAGGTCTTGGGCTCAGGGGGCTACAGGGGTGACTTCTGTGAGAAGCTGCCAGAAGCTTCCCCCATGTCTGTCTGATTTGCATCTGTACAATGTTTATAAAGAAGCAATGAACCATGTTTAAAAATTCCCTTGCAAGGGATGGAGAAGTTAACCTGTTATAGTTTAACACATCAAATTCTACTTTGTAGCACAAAACCAGTGCATAAGCAAAATAAAGGGCAAGATGTGCTAGGAATAGTGGGCTAGAACAGGGGGCTGTGGAAAGGGCATGGAGAAAAAAAACCAAACATTTCTTCTCATGTGCAGCATTAAAGTTCCAGTCTCATCAGATTATAGCGCAAGTTTGAAATGTTAGGGTGATGCTTTATGCTTGTAATTTAAGTAGCCTTTTTCCAATAGGAAAAACCTGGAAAATATTCTACGGACTACTGTAATTTCAACATACAATAAATGAGTTATGGAGGGACATATTTAGCTTAGAAAAACCCAGGGGAGTAAAGGTTTTCATTTTCAACAGCACGTGACTTCTGCTTCTTCTGAAAGTGCATCTGATTTTGTTATTTTTTTTTTTCATGAAGTGAAGAAGTTAGTTCTATAACCCAGCTATACTTATATTTATTTCTAGTGACCATGTCATGAATCTAATCTGGATTAATAACCTAAAGGAAAAATATACATCTAGATCTATATCCATCTCAGTTCTTCTAAGGCTATAATTACAGACAGGAAAGCTCTATGTTGGTATTTAGAGAGGTGATGAGTTTTCCAAGAAATGGGTAGCTAACAGTTTGGTACCTAGTTCACTGAGCAAGTGCCTCACATTAGCAAGGCTCAAATCAGAGAATGGACTATATTCACTTTTTTTGAGGGACTCATCCCATAAAGGACTACAAATACAGATTTTATCACACTTCACCACCTGTATATAATTAAGAAGGGTATTTTGGACTGGTTTAAAATCTTAGATTGAGTGAGTTAAAAAAAAAGAACAGGTTTTACTGGGTATAAATGGGTGTGTACACTTTCCACATTACAGTGCATTGTAGTGTAGCCATTTATAGCCAGGCTACCTTTGCAGCTAGTTACACTGCCACACTTGCTTAAAAAAAGCCAACCAAACAAGCACATAACCTACAAGAGGACTTCTGAATCTCTACAGTTACAGAACATAGTTCCCAGTCATGAAATTTGAGCAGAAGCCTACAGACTAGATGTGAGATTCCTCCCTGCCCTTGGTATTAATCAGTTTGAGATTAATTAGCAGCTGAAGCAGTAGTCTCTCCTTCAATTACGCTCTCTCTTTTCTAGAAACTATAGAGTTGTATTAAAATTAGGTTGAACAAAGTATATTATGACCTGAAATAAGGGCTCATTCCCACTGGAACAGAATACAGTTGCTTATTGTACGAGCTTTGTACCTGAGTTCTGTATTTTCTCCTCTTCTCTTTAAAATAATTTTAGTTGTAATTTAGCAAAGTACTATTATATAACCAAACTATAAATATTTAAGTATAGATTCTTCTTGTAGCACCACACCCTCCTAAACTCATTCCTTACAAGATGAGATTTTACAGTTATGAGGCGTAACCTGCCTTTTTTTTTGACCCTGTACCCTGCAATTTACAATTTAAACAGAACTGTGTTTAGCACCAAAAATGCAACTCTGTACCATCCTAAAAGTTCTGTCAGAAAGTACATTAAATATGATACCACTTAACCACTTTCTTAAATGAAGGTAATATTCCAGTGAAAAATTCTCTTACCGGAGCTTGCTGACAAAAGAGCTTCCTTGTGAGAAGGTGTTTTAACAGTGCTGGTAGTTTTATTTTTACATCCTCTATTCAAGGTCAACACAGATGGCACCATTTTAGCCTTGGGAGTGGATACACTTTGTAGTGCGATTGGGTCTTTCTTTGGTATGTTTTTCCCTTGAGTTGTCCCATCTTTCACAGAAGGCATCTGTTTTAAGAATAAAAAGAAAAACCAAAAAACCAGTAACAATACATCCCACTCACCACCACTGCGAGAAACTGAAGATCTCCCTTTGCAGCATCTGTAATGAAATACTGACCACCCAGGCATGGGATATGCTTAGTTAGTCTCCATCACATTGTGCACATCAGCAGTTAAGCACCTCAAGGATCATCTCCTAAATGGCCTTCAGCAACACAAACCTATTAGTTTGAAGCTAATCACTCGTAATGACAAACACACTAAAAAGAGGTTACAGAGGTGATTTTACATCAGAATTTCTTCCTCTTCCTCCCCAAACTCTAATTAAGCAATTCCATTACATGACTACACCTAATCTCAAGATCTTTACCAACAAGCTATACATATTTAACACCCTGAGAAGTTAGTTGTCCTGTACTACCTGAAACGTCACAACCATTACAGCAGCCTTTTGATCTAGGTCATATGTCACAACACAGAAACAGGTTAAAATTTTTCAGGTTGAGGTTCCATAGATAAAAATAAATTCAAGAGTGGACATGGGACAGGTTTAAAATAACTGGTTTATATGTATGAAACATCTACATTTCATACAGAATTCTTGCTACAGCTTATACACTCACTAATTCATGACCACTCTTGATGTACAGTCAAACCTATAAAGGCAAACTCATAAGACTGTACAGCTCTTTATATGCTTTTCTGTGACTCAAGTCAATATGCAGCAATTTGGTCATCCTGCTGCACTTTCAACTTTTGATTCCAATCCTCATCTTCATTTTCAGATGTTAATCTATAGTTTTCAGAAGACCACTTACTAAGTTTAGTCCAGCTGATTTGTCTACTGTATATCATTTATAGAAAGTGCTCTATTGTTTTTCCAGGCACAAGCAGAACAATTAATATCACAAAGGTTTCCATATTGACAATGGGGTAAATGAAAAGCATTCTCTTCAATACTCAGCACCAAAAATAAGGACTGAAGCAGAATCCAAGCTCTTAAAGACTTTAGAACTAAAACAGACCATTCTTGCTTTCATGCTTATTTAGGTTTTCAAGTTAGATTATTTACTCTAATAAATAGTATTAATTTCTGGTGTAATGTTTCAAAAATGGATAGCTGCTTCTGTTTTACCTAAGAGCTTCCTCCATATACTGAGCTTTACTGGAATTTTTCTGGCAAATCACTAAAACCTGTCAAAAATTCAGACTACACCAGTTTTACCATTAATAGCTGCTGCCTCCATTTCACCGATTTAACAAAAGCTGTTGAACCCAAAAATCAGCAACAGGAGAGAAACTCTGTGTCCCTACCATACATCCTGAGATCCTGGGCAACCCAACCCCAATGCTCTGCCCCTTCTTTCCCACTGTTCCTTTTATTTTATCCTTCTTTCAAGAGTATTTGAAAGCAGCACGTTTCTCCTGACAGGCAGCTGACTCATCCAGAAGTATTTCCCAGCCAACCAGCACATGCATACCTCCCGGCCAGGAAGTTTACACCTTCCAGCTGGCTGACTGCCCAAAACCAGGTATATGCCCTCTGCATGAGAAATATTTCCTGGCTACTCTTAACTATTCTAACGAGTCCTGGTTCTACTTCAAACAAACAAACTCTCAAATTATTCAAAGGAGACAGTGAAATAAGATGTTTCACCAACTCATTGGTCTTTGGGTTTTGTGTGACTTAATGTTACTGTTAATATATGCACAACATTTACATAAGTAATTTTAAAAAGTGTAATTTAGTTCTAAAGCACATTTGGAAGGAAAAGAAAATACTGAAAACAGCAATTTATCTCTAATGTCTATTTAAACTTACAGCACCACTAGAATTATCTTGAAAAATGTGTACATTAAAAGCTATATTTAGAAAACCTCACCAAATTAAGCTGTGAAATTTTACAAGTTTGACTAAATTAGGACTTGTTTGCTTTTATTAGGCATCGTGCACCAACTGCATTGTCTGTAAAAGACTTCACTAAAAAATTTTACATCACGGAATAAGATGAAGATGGAAGGACACTAAATTACAATTGAGGCCAAGTGCAACCAGTTGAAAGTAAAACAGTATTTCTTAATTTCCTTTATTAGGGAGAGACTTCACCTGGGAAATCAACATTAGAGTTACATTTGTAGAAACAAAGCCCATTCCACAGTTTCCATTCAGCACCGTGCAATGCCAAATTTCCTTTTTCCAAATGTACCGAACATACAATAAAGTATGAAAGATAAAAACTTACCAAAGGAACAGAGTGCATGTCAAACGTTTCATTTGCCACATCTTTTACCAAGGTCGCTTCCAGAAGCATTCCCATATTGGTGCTTTGCTCTTTTTCACCTCCAGCTGGGTCAATATCTTGAGCACAAGGCTGCATTAAGGAGTCTGAACTTTCCATTTTATCATTTAGCATCTCTTCCGAGCTCTCTACGCATGTTGGAAACACAGCAGAAACCAAGGAGCACGCCGAATGGGTAGCGCTTGCTTTGTCAGTGTCTTCAGGACTTTGCTTTAATGCAGGTGTCTTTGAAGTCTTGTGGGAAGCATTTCTGGGAGGTGTTGTGGCATGTACAACTTGGTTAGTGAAGAGGCGTTTGTTAAGATGTAGCTTATGGGGCTTATTTACAGGCAATTCCACTTTTGAAACTTTAGCTAGATCTACTGTCTTTTTCAACACTTTTATAGAGGACAATTGCCTTGGGGAAGCAACCCGTGAAGGTGAGGAGACAGCTGACAACTGGGAGGACTGGGGGGACTGTTTTAATGCTGTGCTGTCTCTCGACTGTAGCACAGGTCTAGACACAACCTTTGGCTTCACATTTTTGAAATCAGGTTTGGGAAAACTAACAATCTCCGATTTCTTTGCTTTGGTTATTGTTGACACAATAGAAGACCTGCCCACTGGTTTTCTTACAGTTTGATCTGAACTAGCTCTAAGCACAGACCTTTTATTATGTCCTCCTACAAATGTCTCATTTGGTCTTAGTTTAGGAGACTTGTCTCCAAGTTCTTCCAAAGCTGAAACAGAAAAAGTTCTATTTTTTGATCGTTCTTTAGGGGTTGAAGAACATAGAGCAAAAGCACTTTCATCAGCCATAGGACTGAAGACCACAAAAGTTTCTTCACATTTCAGGTCAGGTATAGCAGTCCTCTTCAATTTTGGTACACTGCAAGATACAGAAGGGGTGTTGTGCATATCCTGAAGAGCAGCATTTCCAGAGATACTCTGTTCTTTGGTTAAGGGTTCACTGGTTTTCTTTGATACTTGTTCTCCATCCATTTTATCTACTGGGAGAAGGTGCACATTATTTACAAGACTATCTATGCACATTTCAACATTGGAATTCCCAATTTCATCATGGTCAGAGGTATCCCGCAAGGATTTCACTTGGTCATCTTCATTAATATTAATGCATGGTGACAATGCATCTCGTCTATAAGGACCTATACATTCAGCAGCTAGTTCTACAGACTGCGCTTCTGTTTCCTGTGATTCTTTATCAGTCTTGATAGCGTTTTTCAGACAGTGTTCGACACCTGCAGAGATGAAATTAGGTGTTCTTTCTGAGCTGGTTCTATCAAATTTCTCTCTTGTACATATTTCAGAAAAGAGTAGTGTTCCTCTCAGATGCATATCATCATTTTGATCAGTTCCCAGAGTTTCACCTGTAACATTAGTAACATCCAATGTGCTCGGGTGGCAGCATGCCCTGTCATTTATCAGGGACTGCTCTGAAGCAGGAAGTGCTACTCCACACTTAGAGTCTGTCTGACTGTAAGGCACTGTGTGTCTGATACTCTGATTTTGCATTTTTGCCATAACAACGTCACCTTTCAAGAAGTTTGTTGTTGCTTTCAAGTCACAGTTCAAAGGACACATGCAAGTCTGTTCAGTGACAGAAGACTTGCAAGCAGCATCTGCATCTCCCAACAGAGCTCCTGTGCAGTTGTATCTGCCAGGTGTCTTCTGCAGATCAAGTACTTCAATACACTGCTGTTTTAAAAGAATACTTCTGAAGTCACTCATATTTTCAAAATCATCTTCATGCTCAGCCACTATATTCTGGTCAGTTGAATTGCTGTGTATCTTGGTGGCACAATTCTTTGAGGAAGGTGCAGCTCTGTCACGTGCGTAGTTATTTCCATTTTCATCCCTTATAAGTAAGGAAGACTTCAAGCCATTCTTTGCTTTGTCATCTGACTTCCCAACATTCATTTTGAAGGCTAAACTTCAAACCGTTTTCATTTTATACTTATTTAAAATCTCAGAGAATGCAGATTCTTCTGAACTTTGCAAAAAAAGCCCCAAACACAACAGCTTTTCCCTGGAACGTGTCAATTGTTCTGAACGATATTTGAAAAGCAGTTCTTTGTTTTCATATTTCCCAAGAGGATTCAAATGTTCTGGAATGAAAAAGAAATTAAAAACAATTAGTCAATTAGGATTTTAAGACAGTAAACATTTTTAAGCTCCTAGTCATTGAATCAAGTGCGGATATTTTGACCGATTTTCTTAAGCAAATAATGATTTTACAAAGATGTCATCCATGCACACTTACCTTCCCAAGCTGTTTCCACTTCTGTGACTGCCAAGCAACTTTGAAGTCTTTGGTCAGTTGCAGTCAAGTGCAACTTTAGGGTTACATTCTCAGATATTTGGCTTGCTTGGCTTTCATACAAGAAAAAAACCAACCCAAAAGATGTGGCTTTTGGGAAAAGGTATCTGAAGGACTATATGACAGAATGAACCATCATTTTCCCCTCTTTCAATAGCAGATAGCCAACAATAGGGCATGGTTCCCCATATAGTGTGTAGTCAAGCTGTGAAGCGTTTTACTGCAAACTGCTTGGAAGCCAAGAGCTTACATGGGCTCAAACATAAGCAGTCAAGAGCCATGTTAAAAAACCAACCAAACAAACCAACAAATAAAACAACAAACCTGTCCAAAACTGAACTGAGATGCTCTCAGTCCTGAGCTGCAAGCAGCCAGGGAAGAATTACTGCACGCTCATCCTGATCTTACACTCTTCCCTCAGCATTCAGCCCTGGTTACTGCTGCAGATGGTTCACAGGTGGATCTTCAGTCTGACCATGTCTGGTTGCACGCATGTTCTTATACACAAGTTCGCGTGAAGACAGGAAATAGAGATCTATACTGTAATTATGATGAAATACTGCTGTATAAGCTCAGGTCTACAGCAGAAATAAGAGCAGCAACATAGGAACAACAATAAGAATTGCAGTGAAGAAAAAGTTCAGTGCTTATCCCTCAATGCAGAGCCGTAACAACCCCAGAGAGCAGTTCTTGTCTGAACTGAAGGTTTTCTCCCTGCCTTTTGAGGAAGCAATGCATAGCAGAGGCAGCTCAAGGTCTTCTAAGAGTTAAGACACCTCAGATAAGAAAAGAGAGGATAGGGAGGTTCATAATCTGGGGTACACCAGTACACTTCCCACATGCTGCTGCAGCAACCAACCAGTAGATGCACATGACACCCCTGGAGACTCACTTGGAGAGCAATTTCATACCTAGTAGCAGCCTCCATCTTCTATAAAGATGATTAGCCAAGTGAAGAAACAATTCCAGTGTCCTCTCCAGCAGAGCAGAGCCACATTACCTCATCCAAAACCCTACAGGAAGGTGGGGGTGGCAGGATGGACATGGACAGACAATGCAGGACAGTGGACCACACATGGGATGGAGATGCACAAACAAAAAACCCAGTAAAGAAGAGGCCTTGCAACATGTTCCTAGCAAGCATTAAGACTGCACAGAAATACCAAAACCACAAGGACATAAATGAGAGATCAAACTGTCCAAAGCAGTTGGATGACCTCCATAGCACAATTCCATATGAAAGGCTCCAAGTACCAAAAATGAGACTAGAGATATGGAGAACTTCAGACTTAAAAGATATGGTTGCAGTGGGGTGCAGGATCTGCCAGAAAGAGGGCTCACTTACAAAGCAATAAAGTCTAAATAGGCAGAACGAAGTTCACTGGATCCAGCAAGGGAATCTGGCTGAGGATGTATTCATTGGCAAAGGTCAGCTGGCCAACTAAAGAAGGACAACTGGACAAGTCTTGAACACTATCACACATCTGGAGTGAGACTCCACTCTCCAATCAAAGAGCAGGAAGAAGGATATTTGCCATCAAAAACAATGAGCAAATAGGTCAACGGTGCTTAGCTAAAAATGCAGCCATCAGAGTGTGGCATCCTCAACCAAGGATACTGATGTAATGACATATTTGAAATTTGGTGTGAAGAAAGCAGCAGGACATGAACATCATGATTCAATATATAGGGTGGGTAGAATAATTCATAATTCACATAAGAGTTAAAGTCTGAAGTTATTTGACTGTTTGAACTATGGTGACAATAGTGGATGCAATACACCAAGACAGGTCAAGGAGGTTACAAGATCAGAAAAGATAATAATAATAAATAGATTTCTGCTAGAGCAATGCTGATTAGGCACATAGTAGAATAATTCCGTGATCATATTTTTGTATAATGGAATCAATGACTGCTTTGGAAAACAAGTTTGGCACAAGAAGAGAAGCAACTCTTGATTTGTTCTTTAACAAATAAGTTTAAAGCCTTGCAAACCATATAAGCCATTTTTAGGAAACCATAGCAGGGGAAAGAAAACAAACTCTTATCGGTAAGTACTTTAGAAAGCATAAAATGAAGCTAGCATGCTAAGTAGTGAAAGGTAAGTTACTAAAAGCAATAATGCATTATTCAAAATCTGTTCTTGCATTATTCAAAATTCACTTTTTTCCTTAAACTTTATTTTCTTCAGCTGAAAACACAGCTTGAGTAACTACATTCAAAATAAATCCCTTTTCAAACCAATGAAAAGTATAAAGCTTTTCATACTGGCTGCATGGCCCATGAAGTTTTGAGTACAAAAGCAGTACGCAGCACCCAAAGTAAGACTGTTCTAGAACTGCAGGAATGTGCCTGCTCACTATGAACCAAACACAGAGTGGCTTCTGGCCCACAACCTTGTCTTTACATGGTACTTTGAATATCTGATTCCAATTGAGGGTAAAAAGACCACAGAACAATGAAAACAACAAGCTACCGAGATCACACAGCACACCCTCCTCTGCTGCTGCTCCCCCCCCCACAGATGAAATGGCTTATATAGCTAAAAATCTCCTGCTAACTCAAGGCTGATCTAGATCTTTTGCTTACCCACTATTATTCAATCCCTATAAAGGCATAAACCACTGTAGTAGCCTCGTTTTCACCTTCAACTAGGAAACCTAAGGCAGATTGAAGAGTTCTTCCAAAAGTCTTCCCTGAAGGCAGGGCAAGAACCTGTTCTGAATAATTTTCCATTGAGTCAATCACAGAATCAACTGCTGAAAAATATCTGTGAACTTTACTTTCACTGTTGTTTTGACACATTAAAACTTGTTTGTACTTGCCTGGAGACTAGCCCTTAACACAGCTTGCTCGCCTTGTCATGCAACAAAAAGATTCCATTTTGATTCAGCATTTGCTCAGATTTAAACAGCAGTCCTACCTCTTTCAAGAGCTTTCTCTCTATGAAAACAGGCAACTTCAATATATCAAGACTTAGTAAGACCGAAATCCCAAGAATTTAAAGAATGGCACATTACCTTACAATATGCATAGCTAACAATGTCAAAACATGAGCAGCTAAGTAAACCTTGATCCAACTGATGCTGAAGGAGCTCCAAGAAAAATAAAAGCAGTTTTGAGACTAAAGAGAGAAATGAGGAAGTGTGTTCAAATTGCACATGCTAAGGTGTACGTGTATGTATAGAAGTCTGCTCACTCACTGCTGTGGACTTTCACATAACCAGAGAAGGTACAGCAATAAACTACTGATTCAACTATTTCTAAAGCAAATTTTCACTCTAGTAATCAATACTTTAATAAGCAAATAAACCAAACTTCAAATACAGCTTCATATCCACAGAGTCCTGAAGGCATCCTGCATAGAAAGTGAGGTGTTCCTAAAGATAACTATAGTGTATAAAAATCTGTAGCCTAGATAAACATTATTCCTCAACAACAGACATTCTGTAACTCTGCATATACCAATATGTTCATTAAGCTTATGAAAACACTTACTGCTGATGAGAAATTCTTTAATTTCAAGTTTTGCCATGGGAGGGGGTCAGTAGCAGATGCGTAGACACAACAGTTGCCCTTGCTGAGAACACACTGCTCCTGGCAACTAGTGACTTGAGGAATACTACTACTAAAACTTGCTTTGACTTTGTCTTACATCACATATTATGAATGCCTGGCCTCCACAACACTCTACAGGTGCAGTGCAAAACAGTTCAGCTGTTTCGTGCCTTCACTAAAGCTCAGCCTGCCAAATTTCAGTTGTGTACTTCTAGGACACTTCAGAAAAGTCTTCGCTATCAGAGCTCTTAAGCTTTCCCCTTCCCCAGTAGATACAAGAGTGTGGGGTAACTTGGGGAAAAAAAGGGAATGGAGCTTGGCAAGTAGAATCTTCTAAAAAGAGGAGGAATTCACTGCCAGCAGCCACAGATCCAGGACAAGTACACTACAACATACAGAACTGGGCTCAGAGCAAGATCTTGCCACTTCTGCTAACCAACGAGGGATGTCTAGGGGTGTGCTGTAAAAGAGCAGAGAGACAGTGACTCGTTCAGTGGTAGGTAAACAGGAATCAAAACCAGAGCAATTACAACAGATAATTCAATCAACAAGTTGACAAATTACTACAAGAATTCCAGTCAGTTTGTGTTAGTGTCACAATGCAGACAGTAATAATTTACACTTTTCCTGGTACTCCATCTGGAACTTGATTGTTTTAAGCAAACCATCACGCAACATTTACTCACACCCATCAGCTACGTTTGTGCAGCCTGTAGGAAGGGGGACATAGGGTGGGGAATAAATCTGAAAGCAGAGAGTCTGCCCAGACATGCAGGAAGGCAGTCTAGAAGTGCTCCAATTAACTGAATATGCTTTGATACCAGAAAAAAATGCAGCATCAGTATTCCAGCAGAAAACCATGTTATGTGGTCATGATTACCACAGTCACTGAAATCAAAATCCATAAGGCATTTGATATGTCAATGCATTACACTACAACCAGTCTACTTGACCACGTTCTAGAACACAACACAGTTGCAGAAGTCTGCCTTTTTCAGCATATACACCTGAAGAGATGGCATCATCCAGGAGAGAGTCTGCATGCCAGAACAGGCATCCCTCCCAACATGCAGTTCAGGGTCACTCATACAGGCTTCATAAGAAAGCACTAGGAAAATATGCAATTTCAGGTAATGCTGTATTTACATAGAATTGTAAATTTTGGAGCTCTCTGTATAGATTCAGTAATGTCACATCCTGATGCGAACTAGCCTATTACCAAGCTAATTC